GATTTTTTTTTTAAAAAAAAAAATGTATGTGCCTGATAGAAAATAAATAAAACTTTATTCTACAATTATTTACATAAAATTTTGCAATGTAAAAGTAAACTATATATAAAATAGGTAAATTTTAAATTTATTATAAATTTCTTAGAGTGCACTGGCTTTGGCGAGATGCACTTATGGATAAATTAAACTTTACTTGGCAGAAGATAATTATTATTGATAAGAGCGCATAAAAATTTCAATATTAGCTCATTATAAATTACAATAGTGTAAGTAGTTCCAAAATAACATTTATGCATGTCCTAAAATAATGCGCACTCCATATAAAAAATTTAATATTCGAATAAATTAATTATTAGTGAAGCTACTCTTAATTTGTCTCAAAAAAATGTTTATATGCATATTCTAAATAACACACATAAATTCAAAATAAACACGCGGGTGGGCATCATTTCGTATACAATTATGCCTGAACTGAACACTAATGATTATAATAAGCTGCAATACAATTTAATATTTAAATTTCAATTACATACCTCTTATTTATGCAACTTTCACCTAAACAAGACAATCATGTCTGATGGTGAACTAAATGCTGATGATCATAGTAAGCTGCATTACAATCTTGATTCTAAATCCCAATTGCATATCTCTTATTTATGCAACTTTCATCTAAACAAGACAATTACGCCTATACTTAATGTTAAAACAAGTATGATGATAAACTGAATGCTGATGATCATAGACTGTTCGTTAATCCCGGTTTAATAATAAGCTACAATATGATCTAATAATTAACCAATTACATACTTTTTTATTTATGCAACTTCCACCTAAATAAGAAACTACATAATCACGTTAGTGTATACCTATTTAAGCAGTGTTAGTAAAAGTTACATACCAACCATAAATAATCATAACCAATTGGGACATTCAAATGTCAAATGTGGTATAATTTAGCATTGACCTCTAAGATTCTTAAATAATCTAGATCAATGCAGATTTTATTTATTCTTAAATAATAATTCATAAAAAATGCGAAATAATTATCATGACATTTTAATAATTAATTTCTTAAAATAGGTATCTAATTTTAAAATAGTACCACCAGGCAGCCTGAAATAACCCATACCTTTGTAAAATCCCAGTAATAATCAGTAAGTTAATAGTCAAAACCAAAAATTGGCTAATTGAATCGAAATAATATGCCTGCACATATCTCTAAAAAGCGCGTAAATATTCAAAATAACATGCATTTGGCGTACATTATTTCATGATTTTACAATCACCTCACCAACATTACATAATTAATGAACCAATTCGAAATTCAATAAATCACTATTCAAAAAATGCTAAAGAATAATAAAACAGTTAATTATATACCTTCACAAATTATTATATAAGGACATGTTTCTTCCTTTGCCTGTCCATTAATTCGCCTATTCGAATTAAAAAAAAAATAACTAATCAAAATTCTCTTCTACTAAGTCACTTATTCAAATTAAAAAAAAACTAATTAAGTAAATTGCTTCTTTTACTAATTCTCATATTCAAATTAAAAAAAAAAATAAATTCTCTTTTTTTCACCAATTCGCCTATTTGTTAATTCGGTATCTAAAAAATTTGACAATGTCAAAATTTCATTTCTCTGAAAATTTGTCTGTCTTACCCTTTCTTGAAAATACCCAACATTCTCTTATAGTTAAGTCAAAAAAAAGGCAGTTTCATGAATATCTCAGTGAATTTGATAGCCTTGAAACTTTCAATCTTTGTGATACATGCGAAAATTCCTTAAACTCAATTGCTAAAGAATGTCATACAAATTTATTAAATCGCAACTTATTGTGATAGATCGTAATTAGTAATCAACCTTTATCAACTATAAAAGAAAATTCTTTTAGTAACTTCATTTCTACTCTTAACCCATACTATAAAATCCCCTGTCCTCAAACCCTTTCTGAAGATATTGAAAGACAATTTGAATCAGCAAGAATAATTGTAAAAGATTTCTTAAAAAATAACAAAAGCAAATTATCTCTTACCATAAACACATGGACTACACATTCTCAACGGTCCTTTCTCAGGGTCACCGTTCATTGGATAGGTAACGAATGGGTGATGCATACTATTATTCTTGATATTATCATCTTACCTGATACCTACATTGATGATTATATTGGAAAAAAGGTTCTTGAACTCGTAGAGGATTTAGAAATTAAATCAAAAATAATTGGCTTTACTGGAAATAACACATTAGACAACCAAAATTGTTATAATTATCTTCAAAAAACTCTTCAAAGACCTGTAAGTTCCGACTTTATATTTGTTCAATGTCCATTACATATCATTAATCAAGTAGTTGAAGAATATCAAAAAAGCTACTATGACCAAATTAATAAAGCCCATAATTTGTATAACAAATTAATAACATTATCTTCACTCTTGACGGAATTAGACTGAATTTCTGTCTTATTAAACCATTCATTAATTTACCCTGAAATTAATAAAAAAGAGTGGTATTCTACTTATTTAATACTTGAATGGTTCACTCAAGTTCGTGTTATCGCCGATGAACTTATCCGTTTCTATCCGGATATCGAAGAAATTTATTTAGACCTTGTTGAGTGGGAAATAATTAAAGAAATATCAAAATTCCTTAAACCTCTTTACATTGCAACTTCAGTCATGTCACAAAATCTACAACATTTTCATGAAGGTATACGAACAATTATCCGCGGCCTCTTATTACATCTTAATAAATATATGCCTAATAAAACAGTAGAGAAAATGAGAGACGTGCTAAGAGAGTATTTGAGCGATCTTATGAAATCTTTCTCTATGCCCGTTCTACTCGATCCGTCAACAAAGCTAGAAACCTTTGACGATGAAGGTGATCAAAGATTAACTGTTCTTGAAATACGCATGATCATTTCACAATATAATCTACAACTGCCTGTTGCAGTACCTCAAATTGAAGATCCTCTAAAAATTTTTCGGCAAATGACTGGTGAAAAAAATGAAAAGGAACCAGTAAATAAGCTAGACATATATCTTGCTTTAGCTAGTGAGCCGGGAATTAACACGCTCATGTAGTGGAAAAATAACGCTTACCAGTACCCAACCTTAGCACTTCCAGTGGCAGACTTTCTTTCCCTACAAACTACTAGCATTGCCTCCGAACGCGCCTTGTCCGTGGCAAAGGAAATTATTAAGCCTACAAGAAACTGCCCACTAAAGCAAATAGTCAAAGCTTCGTTGCTTTTAAAAAATTGGTTAGAAGCGGGAATTTTAGAATAGACAAAAATTATTATAGAATATGAATTATCTGTTATAAGTTATTTTTTTTAAATGAAGTTATCTGTTACGTATCAATTATCTATCGTCATGGTCCCATGATATCTAATATTGCATGTGATTATTAGAACTCGGTTCAAGTCCGACTCGGAGCCGAGTCTAAATTAAGACTCGACTCATGGAGTCGAGTCGAACCGAACCGAACTTTTAACATCCCTACTCGCCGTTTTACGATTACACCGGAAGGAAACTGGTACGGCAGAACGCGGGCACTACTATAGTGAGAAATGTGGTGAATATTCGTCGACGTTTGTGGAAAGGATTGGCCTTACCTAATACGGAATCACCTCTGGCACAAGAAACCCAAAATAGGTGTAGTATGAGATCTACTTTCATTTCGGTAGAGTTTACTTCGAGGATGGGTAAATTAGCCCTAAAGTCCGATGATCAGAATTAAGCTTGTTTTGGTGTTACAGAAAAGTCGGATTTTAAACAGGCGGGTTCCAGGCCGGGTTCCAGGTATGACAATTATAGCCTCATTTATATGCAAAATGTAATACTACCCTCTTACATTGGTAAGAACTAAAAAGAAATTTGACCTCTATTTAAATCTCCCATCTATTAATAGATTTGGGATTTTCCAATTATTATATGTCAGACTCTACATAACTATAAACAAAAATTTTCAATTCGGGTCCAGTTTTTGAAAATAATTAGAATTCGGATAAAGGTCAAATTCCAATAGTCTGCTGAATTTATTAAATGAATTTGATTTTAGTTATACATACATTAAACATAAACTGAACCACTAAAAAGTTATAATATTATATAATTATGACATGCGCATGAAATTTGAAAAAAATCGGAATTTGCACATCACTAATTATAGTACGTACATTGGAAAAGTGTCGAGTCAAGTTCACATAAAATAGTAACTACTAACATCATAAATATGTAAATACACACTAAACCGTAATAATGAAAGGCTTCGATCGAAGCGTAATAAACCTGTCAAGGTATCTATTTATAAATTATTTAACATGGGATACTCTATTTCTATGCATCGTTGGATTACTATTCTATATAAAAGAATTGATTTCATAGCGTTACTTACAATTTCAGAATTTAAGTATAACATAGAGTTTTTGATTATATGTATTTGTTGAATTATATAGTGCACCAAGGTCAGTTTAAACATTAGTCTTCAATTGTTTTTTTTTCTTTGCATGTGTTCGAATTCTATTCCAGGTTGATCAAAAAAGGACTCCTGATCTGCGTTTTACCTTTAGGAATTTATGTTATTCACAAAAATAAGTGGATGCGATTTTGAACAGATAATTTACTAATTAACCAATTGATAATTAGATAAATTAGCATAGTTTCTAGAAAACACGCAATTAGTACGTGAAAGTTGAAAGATAAAGATTTATTAGTTATAAATCCTCATTGAAAACTAAATAAATATTTGTCATGGTTAAAGCTAAGAAATGGATGAAAATGGAAATCAAGGGCCTCATTTAAAATATAACCTATTTATAATCACTTATGATAGACTCTAAAACCTAACCAAACTATAAAAAAACCGAACAAGTCCAGTTCCAATTTCAGCCATTTCCAGCTTTAGGTATATTGTTAATTTTAATATATATATAAACTGCTAAAATATCTAGATTCTTTTAAAGTTATCACATAATTATCATGAAGTTTTTTTATCTATAAATATTAGTACCAGGTGTTGAAAAAACATCTGCGTTAGTGTAAGGTGTTGGAGCATTATGTGTATAAGTACCAGGCGTTGGAATAACTTTTGTTTTAGCGTAATTAATTGGAGTATTATCGATATAAGTACCAGGCGTTGGGATAGGTTTATCACGACGATTTTTTGATTTTAAATAACAAAATAATCCAGTAATTATCGAGATAAGACCACTTATAACACTGAATGCAATAAGAAAACCAGCTAGCCACGGATTGGTCAAAGGTGTTGAATTTGAATTTGGTGTAGACGAATTTGTTGATGAATTTGTTGATGAATTTGTTTTAAACAAATTTGGTTGACTCGAAGAAATCCAAGCATAATTTTGAGCATCAAATAAATAAAGGTTATAATTTGGTGTTCGAGTAGAGGTTTGAAGTCCTAAATATATAAAATATTTATTGATAATATAATATTCATAAAAAAATCAAACAAATTACGAAAATTTGCCAAGACGTTGTGGTCATAATTTATGCATTATTATTATGTGTATTGTTGTAATAATTTTTTAATACGTAAAATTAAATTAATTAATTACCAAATGCAATAAACATAGTTTTATTGTATAATTCTGCAGAATGGTAACAAAGCGATGGTGGTGCATTTGTCGAAAAGACATTCGGAGCCGACCATTTAAACGGTGAAACATTCGTATCCAATATTGCAAGATCAGGTAAAGCACTGATAATGTAATCGTTATTGATATTAGTTGCTGAACTTCCACCAAATAATATTATATATCCGTCATGAGCTATAATGACAAAAATGAGATTAAATATTATTGAATACAGCTTGTAAATTATAAATATATTATAAATTTAATATATTTACTTAATACAGTCGTATGAGAATTTCGTGGTGTAACTATATCACCATAAGCTTGCTGAGAAAATAATATTCATAGGTTCATTTAATATTGTTAGACAAATTCGAAAATTTAGACAGTTTGAACTCGAACTTTAGAACTTTTAAGTTTTTTGAATAAAAGATTTTAATATTGGAAAAAATTAAATACAATACCATTTTAAACCAGCTTAAGGAATTAGTATCAAAAATTTGTATCTACATTTAATTTCCAAATGTTAAAATTGACATTCGATTTTTCATATATAACATACTTAAAAATTACTATACCTCATTCATATCAACATTGGAATTAGAATTATTAACTAATTGTAATCCACCAATATAAATTATGAGACTATTGCTCAATAAATTAGCAGTATAACCTCCACGTGGTGTTGGAACATTATTAGCAGTGTTAATCTGTGACCATCTAAATGTGTTTACATTAAGTATATTCATATAATTAATGTAATTTCCTATACGTTTTGAATTATCAATAGAATCTACTTCGAATCCTCCAAAAATAAAAATATTTCCATTATTTGCTATGACAGCTTTCATACGAGTCAACGTTAAAGATGTATTATAAAATCCAGTAGTAGTTATCGTGGTCCATTGTAAAGTATCGGAATTAAATGCGTATACCAATGAAGAAGGATAAATCACGCTTTGACCCGCTTGATCAGTGGAAAGTCCTCCAATTAAGAAAATATTTGATCCATTTATAGAATTAAGGCATGATGTGGCAAGTAATTCTTTTGCAGGTGTTCCCAAAGAAACGCTCCATGAAGGTACATTTGCCTCAAATTTATTTGCTAGATCGAGATATATCACCTCATTTGTATAACTACTTCCAACAATACCACCCAAAACATAAAACTTGCTACCATCTAAAACACTAGTTTGGTAATACCTTGGTGATGGATTATACTGGCAAAACACAAAATTAAATAAAATACTTAATATATAATACGCATAAAAATTTTTTTGATACATTTTATTTTAATTCAAATCTTGAAAGAATTAGCAAACCTTAATGTTCTATGATGTAATTTAAAATATGGTTCTTCTTTAATTGGTTGCTTGATGTAACGATTCTTTCCGTATCAGTATTTTGTTTCTACGTTGCTAGTATGGTAGGTATCATCCTTATCATAAAATAGAAATGCGAGATATGTATGTACGTTGTGAAAGGGCAAATTATGGCTCAAAATAGATTTTACAGATATGGTGGGTCGGATGCTTATTAGATTTAGCAAAACTGAGTGGATCTGACTTATATCGTATGCTGAGGTGGCTAAGGCCGAATCCAAAATTAGAATAGTGCACTAAGTCAACTTATTGCATTTACTGCATTTATTGCATTTATAATTTATTGAAATTAGCGTATTCGTTAGATTTAGTCAATTTAGCGAATAAATTCATTACGAATCTACTAGCATAAAAGTACTACCTTTCATATTCAATAAAGACAGTTCAGTCCTGGTAGAAATCAACGAGAGTTGAATACTCTGAATTCAGTTTCAGGGTTTAATTACCCCCCCCCCGATAAGTAAATTGCGCATAGAAGTCCAATCCTGCGATCCCGAAGAAGAAATTCCGCCTTTTTCAATGTACGTGCATAATCGATCTTATTATGACATTACGTATATTTCATATGAAGTCAGTGTTGTTGGGGTAACTTACGACCGGGGAAAATCGCCACCAATTTAAAATATTTCCATTTTATATGACGCAGTTGGTGATATTCAATAATAAGATGGTAATAAGTTACATAAAAAATATATATAATGGTTACAAACACCAAAATATGTTGAAATTCGCCGGTAATTTCAATGTGTGTGATGAACATCCAGGCAATAATCGAATAAGATAAAAACTGCATTAAAAATTGATTTAAAAGAATCCCAAATAAAATTTATGATGGCTTCCATGGATGGATTACAATAGAAAGGATCATTAAGGTTATTTTCAACTTTATCTATAACATGAAGAAAAGGGCACTCTTCCAGAGGTACGTATTTACCAGGATAAAATATAGACTTTAAAAACTCATGTATTTGTTTTCTCTTTTTTCCTGTAATAGCTTATTTGTCGTGAAATCAATTAAAGGTACCATTTGAATATCAGGAATTTTGCACCACTATGTTAAATATCAAAGGCAAATTGAATTAATTACAAAATAAAAAATTTGATAACATCAAAAATATTATCTGAGCTTGTTTATTTTCAAATTGGAAACTTGTGAAATAAATTGTATTATATAAAACCTTCTAAAGCACCATCTATGCTTGATGGAATTTCACGAAATTGGTATATCTAATTCCTTTTTACAAAAAAGCGCTTAAAGAATAATAATTAAATATGAGACCTATAAAATTCTACATGAAAAAAAGATAAATGTTTGAGACAGTAATATGTAAATTAAATGAAACCATATAACTGACCATAATTTTTATCCTCATTATTATACGCATATAGCTTTTGTATAATTTCACTAATTGTAATCATCTATTCAATTTCTTTGACTGCTTTATTAGAATAATATTCTAAAAAATATCCCAGAAATACTTGGTCATCATCTAATGAAAATAGTGATTAATAAACTAATATTTAAAACATGTAAATGCATTTACAATTATAATAAAACGAAATTAGATAAACCAATCTTAAAGCACTTTACGAATCACATTATCTTCACCTTCCCATGAATTATACTGTGGCATGTGGTGTGAGTTCTCTTACAATAAATGTTTCTGATTATGCTTTAATAATTCTGATCTGACATTATGTCTTCCTTTATGTATTTTATATCTTGTGAAAATGTTCCAGTTTGAAGACTATATCATCAAGGATTTTAAAAAGGTATTTTTTTCGGGACCATAATCATTATCAATATCTTTTTTTTTCCTTAAATAATATATATTTTATATGTAAATATTTTTCCACTTTGGTAAAAATGCTCAATAAATCAAACCGAAAATCTAGCAATTGTCAAACAATTGGATGAATAAATCTTTAAATAATATTTCGTGTTTGTTTGACTATCTTTTTAAATTTTAAATGAATATTTTTATTGGTAAACAGCATTAATTATATCAATACCACATCAAATTAGTCTAAAATTATTAGACTGCATTGAAAATTCAATACTTCAGATTCCATATTTGATTTTGTGATCATTAATTTTACCCTCTTAATCACATTAATGGATTTGAGAGTTTTTTTTCACCTCTTTGATGCCAAACTTGAACTACATTGTATCCAATCAGAAATAGATTTCCTTTTCATTATCAAGATAAACTGAATATCGTGAACAACTAATAAATAGCGGTTTGTAACTTTGACAGATATTCAGACAAACCGAATAAAGAATTATTTCATATTTTCGATCATGAATTTTATCTCTCCCAACATTATGATGTAAGAACAAATCCGAATAAAAACTCAGTTTACCAATGATAACTTATATAAAGCACATCTTATTATTTATCAGATAGCTGCATAATCCAGTTTAATTTCTGAAATCAAAATTTTATCTGAATATTTAGTAATATTCGGATTATCCAGATCGTCAGATATAAAAGTTCCATCTCTATAACCAGGTTGACCCAGATAACTCGATTAACTTAATTTGCCCAGTTGATCTAGTTTACCTGGTTGAATCAACTGAGCTAACCGAACACTTTTGGTAAGCCGATTTTAAGCGGTTAAGTCTGGGTCAGTTAATCGGTTGACGATTTTCAGCCCAGTTCAGATCACTTTGTGCATATATATAATACTAAATTTTAATTAATCTTTATTTTTTGAAAGGCGTCAATCTGAGGAGAGATGATGACATTAACTAACTAATTAGCTTTAAACAGCTTTATTAGTAAAGTTTTTGATATATTATTTTGTCATAGCTTGGAAATTTGTTGTGAACAAATCCAAACTATAATAGTTTGTAATTTGTGTCACTAGCATAACTATAAAAAAATTTTAATATAAAAATATGTCAAAAATATAATAGAGTGAAAGTAAATATAAAAAATTTCATAAATAATAAAAAAATTTTAATATAAAAATATGCCAAACATCTAATAGAGTGAAAGTAAATATAAAAAATTTCATAAATTCTAATAAAGAATATAAATATTATTGATAAACCAAATTAAATCAGAAATATTAAAAATAAAAGTCATAAAAAATAGAAAATTTCAAAATTATATCAACAAACATCTTAAATCTTCTAGGATTATTACGTATTAAAAATCGCTAATTTAACCAAACTATTTATTAAGATATGTTAGAAATAAAGATGAATAATTAGAATGATTACATAATAATCTTTATAAATATAATTAAGCTTATATTTACCAGTCACCACTAGTCTAAAAAAAGCATTTATAAAATATATATTATTAGAAAAAATTTTTTCAAATTATTAAGTGATATTTTAAAAACAATAATCAAGTTAATACCTACCATCTAATAATTTAATAAAAGCATTTATTAAAATATATACGTATTATAAATTAAAAATAATTATATACATACGACCTAATAATTTGGCAAAAGTATTTATTAAAATATATATTATTAAAAATAAAGATGCATAACTAGTGATGGGAAAAATGCGCATTAATGCGCACGAAATGTTTCATGCGCATGATATCGCATGATAAAAAAAAGGCAAAAAAAAGAAAAAACGATCGAGAGGAGAGAAATCTTGATGGGATAAAATGCGCATGAAACGGAATCATGCGCATGAATGCGCATTAATGCGCATGTTTCCGCAATCATGCGCACGCATGAAACCCATCTCTATGCATAACTTAAATAATAACCTTAAAAAAATTATACACTTACGACCTAATAATTAGCAAAAGTATTTATTAAAATATATACATATTATTAACAATAAAGATGCATAACATCAAATTATTTAAATAATAATTTTAACATAATCATATACTTACCCACTAATAATTTAGCAAATGTATTTATTAAAATATATATTATTGGAAATAAAGATCCATAACTTCAAATTATTTTAATAATAATTTTAAAAATAATCATGTACTTACGACCTAAAAATTTAGCAAAAAAATAATATTAAGATATAAATTATTTAAATAATAATTTTTAAAAATAATTATATATTTACCAACTAATAATGTAACAAAAATATTTGTTAAAATGTATGTAAAGATGCATAACTTAAATTATTTAAATAATTTTAGAAAAAATTATAATAAAGCTTATACTTACAAACTAATAATTTAATAAAAAGCATTGTCAAATATTATTAGATATAATCTATTTTAAATATCAATTTAAAAATAAGTATGAAAACTATACTTACGAGCTAGAAATTTTAACAGAAGTATTTATGTACATTATTAGACATGGAGCATTATAATTAATAATAATAATTTTAGAATAAATCTAATAAAGCATCTCCTTACCACCTAATGTAATATAATATTGTTAAAATGGGGTTTGTGAGATATAAAAATGTATAATTTAATTATTAAATACTAATAATGTTGAAAACAAAATTATGCTTGTCACCATCAGTAATAAAATCAAATGCACATAAATTTACTATCGTTAAGGTTAGAGTATAGCCGATTTATGTTTAATAGAAAGGCATAGTGTGTAGTAAAATTTCGCGAGGAATTTTTTGTTAGAACACAAAAGTGAGTTTCTAGTGCAAATTTTAAGCTATCGTGATATTTTGGAAATCGTATTTTTTTGTCTTTATGTTACACGATATGCGTACCGTTACACCTGATCAGTTACTGCTGGTGACAAATATATTTATGATTAAAGCTTACCAGCTAATATTTAATAAAACATTTGTCAAAATATATTTTATTAAGCATACTAACATATAACTTGTAATTTCAATTATAATTTTATAATTAAATAATACTTACAATCCAATAATTTAACAAAAGTATTATAATATATATTACGTATTAGAAAGAAAGTTGTATAAATTATCAAAAAATAATAGTAAAAAAATTACACCTTAGGCTACTACTTGGAAGTATATGTTTAATATATATCATTAGATACAGTATACAATATAGAAAAAGCAGAATTATAATAAATACTGTATTGTTCTTACCAGCTAATAATTATTAAAGGTATATCATTAGACATAATTTAAAGACTAATAATAATAATTTTAAAAGTATACAACAAAATTAATATAATTACACCTTTCTTTTTGTTAATTCAGTATGTGAGGCAATAGGCAATGCAGATGTTAAGTAAGCATTCAGAATAATAATTAAAATAAAGAATAATTTCATTGTGACACTGCAGTTTAATTTCATGGCAATAATTAATATTAGGAAAGAGGAATTGTAAAACAAAAATGATTTATCAATTAACGTAGTGATAAATTATAAAAGCGAAAAAAGACAAATAATATTGATGAATTGATAATTTCTAGTGTCATTTTATACAAAATTTTCGATTTTCATGATTACAATTATAGCGCTTACGAATTAGTACAAAATTTTTTGTAATATAATATGCTTTTTTTTCAACAACGGCAGGCAATATGCAGTATGTATAAGATTCATTAAATTCACCCTAATTCGAAAACGGTTCATATTGTATTATTTTATTAATCAATTAGGTTTAAATCGGATAGAATTAATCTAGTTGCTCTACTTTAAATTATTTTTGTCAGAGTTCCTAACCATTATTCGTTTATCTATTATCTACTGGATATCTGGATTTGAATTTATTTGGATATCCGGATATCAATAGTAAATGGATATTCAGATAAATTCAAATATGGATAAATGGATAACGGATTTATCCGGATTGGAACTCTACTTTCTGTCAAATAATACGTATTCTTCAAAGTTAGTATATGCAAAAATTCATGCAATATGATGTAAAGTTTCAAATGCGTTTCGATTTTGGTCAATCAGAGAACAAGATCAAGTGTAACATGACAATCAAAACAACGACTGACTTTTTTCACAAAGCTCTAAGAAACACATTTCGTGTATTAACAAAAAATTTTCTTTGCTCAATTTTACTATAACTCTGACCACCAAGCATAAGGCGACTTGAAGTTAAACCTTCATTTAACGTTAATTTTTTTTTATATTTGCAAAGGAGAAAGAGGAAAAATTAAACAAATAATAAAATTAAACTAGGTTCAAGGTAACCTAATTTAGATTCATAGGAACCTAAATCAGGTCAAAGTTGATCCTAAAGATGATTAACCAGAATTTGGTTTAATTTTTTTCAAATCTTAATTAAATACACATAATGTTAATTTTATAATTGCTTGATTTGTTAAAATCAGTTATATTGTATGATTTATATATTAGTTTTTTTGTTTTTTATTTTTACTAGTAGTATTAGCTTTATCATTTTCTTCTGTACTAGTTGATTGAATAAACTTTTTAGGTGCTCTCTTATACCATGTTTTCCCATTATTTTTACAAAATAAGCATAAAAAATATAGTGTTTTCCATTCAGATTTCAATATATTAGAAGGTTCAATAAGATTTTTAGATTCTCCACACCAATAACAAATATTAAATGCCATGAAAAATATGTTGATTTAATAGGAGAATCACAGGTAAAATTTAGTTTAACACTTAAACACTCAAAAAGGTCATATATTCTGGTAATAATTGTGACCCATAACTATAAAAAAGACCATTAAGAGTAGCTTGAAGTTTAATTTTCTCATCATTTATTAAAG